TAACTCTTTTTATACTAAAATTATAATTATGATATAACTTTTAAAAAAAAATGGTCAATAATTTATTCAATTATAATAACACACCTTATCTTATATTAATGTACATGTATTTTAATTAATAGAATCGGTCTTTCTGTGTGATGTGGACACAGAAATCTCAACCCAAGGGTAAGAATTATAAATTTTATCACGGGATTTTGCCGAGTGCTAAGCTTCAAAAATCTTATCCGAATGCTGCGATTTCTCTGACCATATCATACAAGAATGATTGTTGATATTTCTCACACACTTTTCTATCGTGAAAAATAGTTGTAATGGTGATCCAAGTACAACACACCATTATCAAAGGCGCATGGAATTTGTGACATAATTGATGACGTTACCCTGGTAACGCTGCATAAAGTGATGACGTGATTATAACGTTTTCAGAATAATAGCTGAATAACGTTTAAGCTGTTTTTCCCTAATTAGGTAGGTAAAGACAGGTTTGCAAAATCTTTTCCCTAGCAAAAACAAGTATACCCATTTGAAGTGTGAGAGAAAATATGTTATCAAAGAACGTATAATCATCATGTTTCTATATACATAAAGTACAAAATATCGACTATAGTACTACGTACTAAATATTCTCTAGCATTTTGATACGGGTTTGACATTATACTTATTCAACCTAACGGGTATTTTTTGTGTTTTTACCTAAAATGCCTAGTTACTTTTTTTCGATTTCATTTTTCCTTTTCTTTCTTGCCGAGGGTTAGATATTCAAAAATCCCCACCCTCATGTATTACTTTTTCATCATAATATTTGAACAAAATAATTTTAATATCATTTTTGTACTGCTTTGCATATAACCACTCCTGTCGAAAGCTGATTTTGACGTGATATCTTATTATTCCAATGACTTAATAGTTGTCCGAGGAAAGCAATCCTCGAGAAAAAATCTAATGTTGCCTAACATGATACAATATACACAAAAGTTGGAGTTGCATACATATAAACAGGAAATGTATAGTTAACATAGTGATATCACATGAAACAGTGGTAATCCCAGATAAATCATAGCTCATGAATAGCTTTAACCATTTTGCTACGACACCTTACACTACGGTATGGAATATCGAGGATGGCTGCCTTAGTAACTACAAATTGTAATTTCACATTTTTGGGAGACTTGTGTCGATTTGAATTATTTAATTTTGTATGATAATACTTTGTGACTTAGATAAGTTTAATTGTGATAAGAAAAAATCTATTCATTTAGTTTTGTTTCTGCATTTAAAACACTCAGGAAAGTTTTTTTGCGACATTGTTTCGTACAATGCGTTATGTGTAGTTAATACGGTAAAACTGTTTTAACTGAACTCCACATAAGCGGATATGTTCACAAGCAATAGTCATATTTGCAAATGACTAATCTTTGATTCTCATTATTATTATTCATCGACAAACTAAACATGAACGAGTTTCTTCTCTACTTTGACGTTCCAGGACTTGATTTACTCTCAATGTGGTTGACTCTGCTGGTGGACTATCCGTCCGCTAGGTTGGATGTAGCCTTAGCTGAAATTTATTCTGGAACGGCTTACATCTATTTTTATCTGTTATAGCAAACCAAAATGTGAAGAGCTATGGCGGATAACTGCCCATATTTCACTAAGTCGGCATTTATGAAAACGGGGAAAAATATTAACGACCAAATATTTTTAGTAGCGAAAATGCATGGAATAGATATAAAACCCATTGAATATGAATTTTCGAACTGTTGAGATAATCGGTATTGTAAGTATAATTCTGCAAATATAGCCATATTGACAATATCCATGAATGTGACAGGGTTTCCCAGACTTAAAAAATGTTTTCAACACTCTCCCATCCGAGGACCAACTTTTGAATATGCAAAAACAAATCCTATGACGAAAAGGTGGTCCTCCTTTGGGAAAGTGCTCAAAATAATGAAAAACAGGGTGTACAAATTTCTTTTAACTGCGACAGATGTTTCTTGGGTTAAAAGAGGTTGTATTTTCATCTTCGTCTATGTCCGATGTAGCTGAATGGGTAACGCAGTTAACTTGTAACCAAAAGAAGTGAACGGTGCAAATTCAAATCCACGTTCAGATTCCATTTTTTTTTTAAATATTTAGGCATGTGATCTTTTTCCTTAATTAAGTAATAAAATATTTTTTAAATCAATGGAACATATCATTTATATATTAAAAGCATAACTATTGATTAATATGTCATCGAATCCCTGTACACGTGTACAGTACAGCTACACTTTGTAGAGAAGACTTCATTTAAAATGATATTTGTGAACCGTTTTATCCTCCAATTGGCACTAGTTATTTTATTTATTATTTAAATGATGCCGAAACACAAAATATATGGGATTTATTGCGTCAAAATAAAAAAGGCCAAGCAAAAAAAAAAGAACTGTTATCGCAAATATATTACCGAAAATGTGGAAAAAGTCATCGGAGAGGACAGTCTCATTTGTTTAAAGTGCAGGAAGACTGCATCACAAACTAAGGAGTGCAATACACGTGTAACACATGCTATTCGAAATTTATATGTAATTTTGCCATTCAAAGGTGCAGGAAGAACAAGTTCAAGATGTGTATTTTGAAGGAAAACAGGTCACGGCATGACGCAGGCAGTAGATATGAAAATAAATATTTTCAAAACTTGTTGGTAATGATTGTACGATCATGTGTTACATACAGCGTATGATTGATTTTAAATTAATATTGATAACGCAAAATAAGCATTTTGTTGAATCTTAATCGTGCAATGCATGTATTAATAGCCGCGGCCTTTAATTCGTCTGTTCGCAAAAATCTGTTCTTAGACACAGGATTTTGATAGAACTACCTGTATAAAAATAACTGAAGACGCGTCATACAGTACACGGTAGCACGCGCGCATTAGCGGATCACAACTTTGGGAAAAGAGGCATAGTAACCCGCCATAGCTCTTTGTAACATCACATTTTTGTTTGTCTGTGTTTAACGTCTTATTAACAGCTATGGTCATTTAAAGTCGTGCCAGGTTTTGGTGTTGGAGGAAAGCCGGAGTACCCGGAGAAAAACCACCGACCTGCAGGAAGTTCATTGCGACTGCCCCACGTAGGTCTCGAACCCGCGACCCAGTGGTGGAGGGCTAGTGGTAACAGAATGTTAGACGCCTCAATGTTTTAAAGGGTTTGATAGGCACTTTCCTGATTTTTCTGTATTCTGTGTATGTTGGAAACACTTCAGACATGGGGTTGCTTTTCTGGTTTTTTTTTATCTTACATATCCCTGATGAGTCCTAATTGAACTAACAGGCCATATTGGGTGGAGTAAATTGTTTGCTTTGTTTGGCTTTCTATGTCAACAAACACATTTTTTAAGGTACATCCTTCTTCGTATTTCCAGTGATATTCATATATACTGGTTGTTCAGTTTACACAGGTTACGCTGTATGTCTCAGACGAGAGACGTGTTTATTTTAACAGTTTTCTGTTTTAGAATCGTTTTTATTATGAATATAAATTTTGTTCATTTTTGTAAAGAAATTAAATAGAGTATTGTATTTTTTTTAATTTCTTGGCCAGTTTAAATTACTTATAAAAAGATAAGCTCGCAGTTACTACTTCCTTAGAGCTTTTTATCGCAAGGTGTTTTATTTTACATTCATATAGGAGGCTTGTTCTCGTTTCCCCCACTTTTTAAAACAACATGGGGGGAAGAATGATGTTAGAAGGATTATAGTCTGTTTCTAAGTAGTATGGGCAGTATTTACCTGTGTTTTTCCCTGTGTTTACCTGTGTTTTTACCTGTGGTTAACCCTTCTTTCTAAGATGGTGCCTCTTGGCTTTTGGACTTGAACTTTAAATTGGAGATATGATATAAATTTGAGGGCGACCGATTTGAGATTGCTATTACTAAACTTTACTATTCTTAAAATGTGAATATTGTTAATGTATTTGTTTTGTTTGATTAGTAAATGTAATGTACAGTTTATATTGATGGATTTAACTTCTTAACATGTTTTGAAATGTAATATTAACGTTAACTTATCTTGTATTTGGTGGCATAAACCGTGTAATATAAATTAATATAATTAATATGCATTGACAGTTGTATGTTTTAAAATTGTAACATAATTGAAATGTAATCATTATGTATAAGTAGTGAAATACTCGATTGTGAACTCTTATGTAGTGCTGTTTTATTCTATATTATCTGTTTAAAAGTGTAATGTAAATATTTGACTGTAAACTCTACATACGTATAGTATAAAAAATATATCGTTTATATATAAAGATATTTGAACCCCAAAAAAGTATTAAAACCTTATTTATACCCAATATATTCAACAAAGCTACAAGTCACACAGGTAACTTTCACACAGGTAACTTTCACACAGGTAAGTTACCTGTGGGGTAAGTATGAAACAGACTATAATTGGTTTGCCATTATCTTCATAAATTAACACTTTCCTTTGTTATATAAACGAGAACACATGTATATTTCACTGAATGGCATTATTTGTGTCGACCAACAAATCTACCACGCATGCACGTACAAAAGTCCTACATAGCTATGGACAGTACAGATAAAACTCTATATACTGTCCCTGTTGAAATTATCTTGTTATTTACAAAGCATGAACTATAGATATCAACTGCCGCCGATTAGCACGTCAGGAATAAGACAGATATATTGTTTACACTTGTTTGATAAATGATCAAACGTATACGTTAACCGCTTAAATGAAAACACTCGTATTGTGTATATGATTCCTATTAACTTTTGGAGTGAAATCACAATAAATGTATTGCTATTAATACAGATATCTACTAGATATTGATTTTAGGTGACGAACGATCGATAGCTATTGATTATGTTTTAATGATACATACATTTATAAAAAGATCGTGTCGTAACCGTTGACAAATTGCCAAACTGTACAAGACAAGTGTATATGCTCAACAGTAAAACGTGACAGGTGAGTTGGATCTTCAATGTGAATACTGCTTCCAACCGATCGAAGGGATATGTGTTAAGCATATGGTTTAAGTAATACTTGGTCTCCTGTATTTTGATGATATCTGTGTTATATGTTGTGATATTGATATGGGACAATTTTATTGACTTTTGAAGGTATGTCTTTCTTAAAATGTAGAATGATTTTGTCAGGCGAGAAATATTGAGTAGCCCTGAAGTAGATAATATTGTAAACACATAATAACTATGATAGGTATGTGTGAAATTTGGCAGAGTTTCATGTAGTCATGTACATATTGAGTAGTTGTTCTTTAGGTCTCAAGGTTAGTTGTTAATATGTTTCTTGTTCATAGACATCTCTCGTAATCTACATTCTGACACATTTTTATTAGGTAAGTATTTTCAATTTCTTGTCACTCACATTTTTGATATATATTTTCAATATTGTGCTGCACACGACTTATTTGGAAAAAAGACAACACATCTATATAGAGTTATTTACTCTGTGTAAATGTACTAAAACGAATGCTAGCTTCATTGTAATGAAATTTACCTTTTGCTCAGCGGTAGGGCGTCACACTGGCCATGGTAAGTCGCGGGGTTTGTGGTTCGATGTCACTCAATATTGCGTCACATTTAAGTTTATTTTCATTTTTTTTTGTTTCAATTAAGCTTACCACCAGCGTCACCATTTTAACGCAAAATGGCTGCCGAACGACAATCGTTGCCTGACCTCCGATCCTTCCTACCTGGAAGAGGATCAAAGGAAGATAAGAGGTTTTATATGACAACATCTATGTCATGTAATAATATCACAAAAGAGAAAGCCGAAGACGACACAGTAGAAAACTTAGATAATGGTTTTGACAATCAAGTCAAACAGAAGACAAAGAAGAAACGTTCTGGGAAGTCCAAAAGAAACATCAATGGTAATGAAAGCCCAAGGGCTGAGGGTAAAAAAGAGAAAGTGTCCCTCAAAAAGCGGTTTAAAAGGCTCCTCACACCAAAACGGATTAAGAATTCTTACAACTTGCCCACACCACAAGTGGCAGTTTCCTTGAATGTGAATGAGTCGGAGGCCTCGAACACATTTTTTGATAGAAATAATGAAGATTTCAAGAAACATGGAACTATTTATGTCCAACCAGTTTGCGAGGAAACCGACACCACTGAGCGTATTTGTGATTGTGAACGCGTCAAACAACTAGAAAGAGAAATACTTCAACTGAAAAATGAAAAGTCAACAAAGGAACGTGAAATGCTGAATACTATTGAAAAGCAAGACGAAGTGATTTCTGAAATGACAAGAGCACTTACTGAACTTGTACAAGACGTACGGTATGTTAAGTTGTCGGGATGTCAGAATATACAGGTATGTGCTGGTGGATATGATCCTAAAGAGCTCCTGGAACCAGTGCGTAGTATATTAGAGGGCTTGTGCAAAAACAACGAAGAGGTCAAGGTCAGTCCTATTTTGATATGCTTAATTTCCAATTATGAACACGCATCCGAAAAGTCGGTATCTTAGAGGAATATCAGTAAATATTTATGCAGTACTTTAAGCCACAAACTGTTCAGCGTATGCTTTTTCTTATATGTTTAGATATATACATAATTCATCGTCGATATATCCGAGGGAAAAAATGAGGACTTAGCAAGGTGTTTTGAAAGCAGTCCTAATAAGCTCTTCAATTAAAACAGACTTATGGGAAAACAAAAACAAATTGGATGGGACTCGGGGCACAGTTTTTTTCCTAAGGGAATGTTAAGAGTCTGATGGTAAATCTTGACCTACAGATTTAATCCAATCTGAAAGTTGGTTTATTTTAAAATAATGTCGTTTTACCCATTTACTTCCGTAGTCTTCCGCAGATTCATTGTTATCTTAAAATTCACTTTTCATTTCATAGTACGCCATTGAAAGAACTGCCGTATACTGTACTTGTATACTATGTCGGTGATAGTTTTAAAGCGAATCCTTATCCTTTTTTTCAAACACAATGAACATACAAAAATAATCAGAAAACAAATAAGAAGTCCGAATCTTACTATACCTTTATATTGCTTTTAATTATCTATTTATTTATCAATCTATTTATTAATTTTCATTTACTATTTTTATTTATTTATTTTTGTAATTTATTTTTATTAATTAAATATTTATTTTTTATCTGTTTACAGAGAATTGCAATGGACATCTCAGAAAGGGTGAATGATATGCAAAACTCTTCGACGGAAGATAGATCACAACAAAAAAATGACATAATGCAATTGCAGCAACTTGTAGAACAGATGATCTCAAAAACACAGGACGACTTATCTGAGAATCCGCCAGTTCCTGTTCTCCAGCTGAAATGTAGTAAACCACGAGATTCCGTTTACTCCAGCCAGCATAGCTTAGTCGACTCTGGAAACTGTGTGGTTTGGGGCCGTTCTGATATCATAAATGATGTGTCCGGGCGACAGCATGACATACAGAAGTGCCTGATGAAAATCCAAGAACGTCTGGAAAATGTAGAAATAAACTCTGAAAAGTGTTCAACTTTCTTTGAATTATTTTCCCAGATAAAATCCATACTCGTAGACAGTGGAAAAGACTATGAAAGGCAAAGTTCGAAACTCACAGGAAAGAAATCATTTTAAAGACCTTTAAGGATTCAGGGAGAGTGAGTGGTGTACATGATTACAATCAGTGACTTTGAGCAGGAAACACATCGGTACACAACTTTGAGTAAAAACAAACAAACAAACAAATGTGGTATTGCCTGTCGTTGTTCTGTGACTGTGGCGTCTTTAAATTATCATTTTGATCAGCAGATGATTATATACGCTATGGAGACATGCATTAATTAATTAATCAATCATTTGTTGTTATTTTGTATTTTTTTCGTGCTTGCTCTAACTTGAAACTACTTTATACCGTTCGTAAATTGGATTTGTTTTGCTACTTTCGAAAATATGTGTTTCGCTAAAATTTACGTTATATTTTTACGTTATCTTAAAAACCTACATTGTTTGGTGTTGAATACCCTTCTCTCACGTTTACACTTTGGGGATCAGGGCCCGTATTCATGAAACCGTTTACATGCTGAAGCATGGATTTGTGCTCAAACCAACTTTCTTGTTACTCTATTAAATCATGTAAAATTATCAAAGAGTCAAATATTAACACNTGTTACCATGATGAACAGCATAGCCTTAGTCCCGTAAGCTGGAAAGGGGGAGAGGGGATTGAAACTGGGATAAAGAGGGGTTTGGGAGCTTTAGAATTTCAAGTATGACCATGTCAGAAAAGTCAGTCGATATCTTTTGAAATAATCGTGGAGACGTGTGCGTGGGTGGGTGGGGTGAAAACAGTATTCGACTTTAAGTCTCTTCGGAAAAGCATTGACAAAATACGATTTTATTATTATTAGTTCATAAACGGAACAAGAAATTAGGCTCGAGCGGAAAATCCATCCTTGAGCATGAGAATGGTTTCATGAATACGGGCCCAAAGCTTTGGCAAGACTCGGATTTTACTTTCCCACAGTAGAGAGTACATTCACTTCTTCATATCTATATTTGATAGTCCCGATTTACTTTTTTAGTTTTGTGTTATTTGTTCTTTTGTCTGTAACTTACGTTTTTTTGATGGCCGATTTTGACAATATGATCACACACTTTTGTTCTGTTAAAATATGTTGTCACAATATTGACGAAAACCCTTGTGTCTCTGAAATCTAAACAGTACCATATCAAATAACGTCGATTAACTAGGGTCATATGTTCAAAAAAGAGTGTGTATTTAACTTTGTCGTTAGTTAAATATTTACCTTTTTTGGGGGGCCAGACTCGGGAACTTTGATACTGGTTACCTGTTCTACCAGATATATGAAGGTTTTGAAATTGTTTTATTTGACTTTGTTAAGTTTCGATATTATTTAATGTAATTGCTTACTGAATTTTATTTTTTTCTAATGTAACTCTTTATTCAATTTTCAAAGGTATCATTACTATCCTTCCTGTTTCTTTTGTTGTTGCAATTGTTAGTATTGTAATTTCACTAGATGAAATTACTTAACACATTTTATAAAGTGCTACAATGTATATTCCTCTTTCTGAAAATTAGCATTTCATCAGTCATGCCTGATATTTTCCTTGGCGGCTCGCCACAGGGGCACAAAAGACGAACAAAAGACTTACACAAACAACGCTTAAAATATTTAAATAGTTAACATATGCAAACGACGTAATCACATGTAACACGATCACGTTCCAACTAAAAAAAAGTGTCTGAAATTATATTTTAAACAACTCGTTGGCGGGTGTTACCATGATGAACAGCATAGCCTTAGTCCCGTAAGCTGGAAAGGGGGAGAGGGGATTGAAACTGGGATAAAGAGGGGTTTGGGAGCTTTAGAATTTCAAGTATGACCATGTCAGAAAAGTCAGTCGATATCTTTTGAAATAATCGTGGAGACGTGTGCGTGGGTGGGTGGGGTGAAAACAGTATTCGACTTTAAGTCTCTTCGGAAAAGCATTGACAAAATACGATTTTATTATTATTAGTTCATAAACGGAACAAGAAATTAGGCTCGAGCGGAAAATCCATCCTTGAGCATGAGAATGGTTTCATGAATACGGGCCCAAAGCTTTGGCAAGACTCGGATTTTACTTTCCCACAGTAGAGAGTACATTCACTTCTTCATATCTATATTTGATAGTCCCGATTTACTTTTTTAGTTTTGTGTTATTTGTTCTTTTGTCTGTAACTTACGTTTTTTTGATGGCCGATTTTGACAATATGATCACACACTTTTGTTCTGTTAAAATATGTTGTCACAATATTGACGAAAACCCTTGTGTCTCTGAAATCTAAACAGTACCATATCAAATAACGTCGATTAACTAGGGTCATATGTTCAAAAAAGAGTGTGTATTTAACTTTGTCGTTAGTTAAATATTTACCTTTTTTGGGGGGCCAGACTCGGGAACTTTGATACTGGTTACCTGTTCTACCAGATATATGAAGGTTTTGAAATTGTTTTATTTGACTTTGTTAAGTTTCGATATTATTTAATGTAATTGCTTACTGAATTTTATTTTTTTCTAATGTAACTCTTTATTCAATTTTCAAAGGTATCATTACTATCCTTCCTGTTTCTTTTGTTGTTGCAATTGTTAGTATTGTAATTTCACTAGATGAAATTACTTAACACATTTTATAAAGTGCTACAATGTATATTCCTCTTTCTGAAAATTAGCATTTCATCAGTCATGCCTGATATTTTCCTTGGCGGCTCGCCACAGGGGCACAAAAGACGAACAAAAGACTTACACAAACAACGCTTAAAATATTTAAATAGTTAACATATGCAAACGACGTAATCACATGTAACACGATCACGTTCCAACTAAAAAAAAGTGTCTGAAATTATATTTTAAACAACTCGTTGGCGGGTGTTACCATGATGAACAGCATAGCCTTAGTCCCGTAAGCTGGAAAGGGGGAGAGGGGATTGAAACTGGGATAAAGAGGGGTTTGGGAGCTTTAGAATTTCAAGTATGACCATGTCAGAAAAGTCAGTCGATATCTTTTGAAATAATCGTGGAGACGTGTGCGTGGGTGGGTGGGGTGAAAACAGTATTCGACTTTAAGTCTCTTCGGAAAAGCATTGACAAAATACGATTTTATTATTATTAGTTCATAAACGGAACAAGAAATTAGGCTCGAGCGGAAAATCCATCCTTGAGCATGAGAATGGTTTCATGAATACGGGCCCAAAGCTTTGGCAAGACTCGGATTTTACTTTCCCACAGTAGAGAGTACATTCACTTCTTCATATCTATATTTGATAGTCCCGATTTACTTTTTTAGTTTTGTGTTATTTGTTCTTTTGTCTGTAACTTACGTTTTTTTGATGGCCGATTTTGACAATATGATCACACACTTTTGTTCTGTTAAAATATGTTGTCACAATATTGACGAAAACCCTTGTGTCTCTGAAATCTAAACAGTACCATATCAAATAACGTCGATTAACTAGGGTCATATGTTCAAAAAAGAGTGTGTATTTAACTTTGTCGTTAGTTAAATATTTACCTTTTTTGGGGGGCCAGACTCGGGAACTTTGATACTGGTTACCTGTTCTACCAGATATATGAAGGTTTTGAAATTGTTTTATTTGACTTTGTTAAGTTTCGATATTATTTAATGTAATTGCTTACTGAATTTTATTTTTTTCTAATGTAACTCTTTATTCAATTTTCAAAGGTATCATTACTATCCTTCCTGTTTCTTTTGTTGTTGCAATTGTTAGTATTGTAATTTCACTAGATGAAATTACTTAACACATTTTATAAAGTGCTACAATGTATATTCCTCTTTCTGAAAATTAGCATTTCATCAGTCATGCCTGATATTTTCCTTGGCGGCTCGCCACAGGGGCACAAAAGACGAACAAAAGACTTACACAAACAACGCTTAAAATATTTAAATAGTTAACATATGCAAACGACGTAATCACATGTAACACGATCACGTTCCAACTAAAAAAAAGTGTCTGAAATTATATTTTAAACAACTCGTTGGCGGGTGTTACCATGATGAACAGCATAGCCTTAGTCCCGTAAGCTGGAAAGGGGGAGAGGGGATTGAAACTGGGATAAAGAGGGGTTTGGGAGCTTTAGAATTTCAAGTATGACCATGTCAGAAAAGTCAGTCGATATCTTTTGAAATAATCGTGGAGACGTGTGCGTGGGTGGGTGGGGTGAAAACAGTATTCGACTTTAAGTCTCTTCGGAAAAGCATTGACAAAATACGATTTTATTATTATTAGTTCATAAACGGAACAAGAAATTAGGCTCGAGCGGAAAATCCATCCTTGAGCATGAGAATGGTTTCATGAATACGGGCCCAAAGCTTTGGCAAGACTCGGATTTTACTTTCCCACAGTAGAGAGTACATTCACTTCTTCATATCTATATTTGATAGTCCCGATTTACTTTTTTAGTTTTGTGTTATTTGTTCTTTTGTCTGTAACTTACGTTTTTTTGATGGCCGATTTTGACAATATGATCACACACTTTTGTTCTGTTAAAATATGTTGTCACAATATTGACGAAAACCCTTGTGTCTCTGAAATCTAAACAGTACCATATCAAATAACGTCGATTAACTAGGGTCATATGTTCAAAAAAGAGTGTGTATTTAACTTTGTCGTTAGTTAAATATTTACCTTTTTTGGGGGGCCAGACTCGGGAACTTTGATACTGGTTACCTGTTCTACCAGATATATGAAGGTTTTGAAATTGTTTTATTTGACTTTGTTAAGTTTCGATATTATTTAATGTAATTGCTTACTGAATTTTATTTTTTTCTAATGTAACTCTTTATTCAATTTTCAAAGGTATCATTACTATCCTTCCTGTTTCTTTTGTTGTTGCAATTGTTAGTATTGTAATTTCACTAGATGAAATTACTTAACACATTTTATAAAGTGCTACAATGTATATTCCTCTTTCTGAAAATTAGCATTTCATCAGTCATGCCTGATATTTTCCTTGGCGGCTCGCCACAGGGGCACAAAAGACGAACAAAAGACTTACACAAACAACGCTTAAAATATTTAAATAGTTAACATATGCAAACGACGTAATCACATGTAACACGATCACGTTCCAACTAAAAAAAAGTGTCTGAAATTATATTTTAAACAACTCGTTGGCGGGTGTTACCATGATGAACAGCATAGCCTTAGTCCCGTAAGCTGGAAAGGGGGAGAGGGGATTGAAACTGGGATAAAGAGGGGTTTGGGAGCTTTAGAATTTCAAGTATGACCATGTCAGAAAAGTCAGTCGATATCTTTTGAAATAATCGTGGAGACGTGTGCGTGGGTGGGTGGGGTGAAAACAGTATTCGACTTTAAATCTCTTCGGAAAAGTATTGACAAAATACGATTTTATTATTATTAGTTCATAAACGGAACAAGAAATTAGGCTCGAGCGGAAAATCCATCCTTGAGCATGA